ACACACACACACACACACACACACACACACACACACACACACACACATTGCCACCGCCACCACCACCAGCACCACCACCAAAATGACAGGAATCAATACACACTGCTCATTGATATCTCTCAGCATCAATGGTCTCAATAAAAGGCAGACGAACTGTGGATTCGAAAACAAGATCCTTTGTACTGTATCCAAGAAACACACTTTAACATCAAGGATTGATATCACCTCAGGGTAAATGAATGGAAAAAGATAATGTAAGCAAATGGACCTTAAGATGCAAGCTGGTATAGATATTTTAATATCTGACAAAACAGGCTTCAAAAGAAAACTAATTAGAAAAGATAGGGAAGGACACTATATATTAGTCAAAGGAGAAATCCACCAAGAGGACATTGCAATTCTATGCACCAAACATAAGGGTACCCAGATTCATAAAAGAAACACTATTGCAGCTAAAATCATGTGTTGACCCTCAGGCTGATAACAGGAGACTTCAGTACCCAGACTCACTGGTAGGCAGGTCATCCAGACAAAACCTGAACAAAGACAAGCTGGAGCTAACATGTCATAAGCCAAACGGACCTAACAGATATTTACAGAAAAATTCACCCAAACCCAAAAGAATATATCTGCTCAGAAGCTCAAGGAACTCTCTCCAATATTGACCACACAAACTCTCATACAAAGCAAATCTCAACAGATATAAAAAAAATTGATATAACATATTGCATCCTATCTTACTACCATAGATTGAAACCAGGTATCATCAACAACAGAAACAACCGCTTACAAACTCATGGGGAATGAAAAACTCATGGCTGAATGAAAAATGGGTCAAGACAGTGATCAAGAAAGAAATTAAAAACATTCTATAATTGAATAAAAATGAATATACAACATACCCAAACTATGGGGCACAATGAAGGCAGTTAAAGGAGGCAAGGAGGCAAGTTCATAGCACTATGTGCCTACATAAACAAATGAACAAAAACTGGAGGGAGCTCATACTAGTGATTTTACAGCACACCTGAAAGCTCTAGAACAAGACGATGAATCTAAACCCAAAAGGAGTAGAGGACAAGCAATAATAAAAGTCAAAGCTAAATTTTAAAAAAATAGGAAAAACAAACAAAAAACCGACATAGAATCAATGAAAAAAAAAAAAAAAAGAGTTGGTTCTTGAGAAAAAAAGATTGACAAACCCTTATCCAGACTAACCAAAGGGCAGAGAAAAGATCTAAATTAACTATATTAGAGCTGAAATAAGACAAAACAATAGACCCTGAGGAAAATCTAGAAAATTACAAGGGCACACCTCAAAAACCTCTACTTCAACAAATTGGAAAAACTAGAAGAGATGGATGATTTTCTTGATACATACAACTTCCCAAAATTAAATGAAGATCAGATGAGCAATTTAAACAGACCTATAACAGTTAGTGAAATAAAAACACTATTTAAAAGCCTCCCAACCAAACAAAGCCCAAGGAAAGATGGTTTCCATGTAGACTTCTACCATATTTTCAAAATGAGCAAGGGGCCAATATTCCTCAAATTATTGCACAAAATGGATATAGAAGGAACATTGCCAGTTTATTTTATAAGGCCACAGTTACCCTCACATTCAAACCACATAAAGACCAAAGAATTACAGGTTAATTTCCCTTATGGATATAGATGCGAAAATTCTCAATGAAATACTTCACGTTGGGTTTTGACACAGGCTTGTTCTGCATCTAGTGGAATGAGCATGCAGTTTTTGTCTTTCAGTTTGTTTCCATGGTGGATTACATTGATTTATGTATGATGAGCCATCCTTGCATCTCTGGGGTAAAGCCAACTTGGTCATGGTAGATGATCTTTCTGGTGTGTTTGTGAAAGATGTGGACATATGCCCCCATCTCTAACCCAAAAGTTATCTGCAAATGTAACCACTTACAGATGAAGATTTTTGTTTCCTCTAAGGGAGTATCACTGGAGAAATGAACCACTCTCTTGGGTAGACTGCGTGTCCTGCCGTGGATGGCCAACAGAAAATGAACTCAACAGAATCTATGGAGGTTCCTTGTTTCATGTCAGGGCTTTTTACTTTTAATGTTATTATTTATTTATTTAAATTTTTTTTATTTTCTCTTTACCCTACAGTTCATTTGAGTTTAAATTATGGCCTCCATTTTGTGTTTTGATGGGTTTCTTGAGTGTGGGAATAAGTGTGTTTCTGCATATAGATCTCATTTTTTCCCGATTTTTTCCTTGAGTTTTTTTTTTTTCCTTCTGTTTATTTCATCTTACTCCACTGTTTTTTTGTTTGTTTGTTTTCGTTTTTAGGTTACTATATTTTATTATCATTTTCTGAAGTCTATTTTCTAATGTGGGACAGAAAGGGGTGGATATGGTTGGGAGAAAAGGTGGGGAGGAATTGGGAGGAGTAGAGAGAAGGAAACCACAATCACAATGCAACGTATGAGAAAGAAGTCTATTTTTAATCAAACAAGAAGCAAAAGCCACCAGTGTCTCTGAGCTCTTCTGGGAAGAGTTCTGCTGGGTGTGTAAAATTCGGCGGGGTGTAAAGCTAGTCACCTCCTGAAAAGGAGAGGCTGATACATGTTTACATAAAATATTATGGATAATGACCATTAAATTATGCCTTAAACTTCCCCAAATCAGATTTTGGGAAAAAAATGTTCTATTCAGATGAAGAATGTCTGGTTTCAGAGAGAAGAACATCATTTCTGGGAAGGCTTCTTCTGAATCTTCTGTAGGTATTGTGTACAGGGGCACAAGGTTTTCTAGGAACTAGGTATGTGAAAAAAGCCCCCCCCCCCGACAGTAAATATTACCCAAATGAACATGTTTAATTATCTACATGTATGTGTGTGTAAATCAACTTGTAGTGCAAATCTTAGAGATGGGTGAATTGTGTTAAATCTAGGTGTACTCTCCCAGAGGCAAGCAAGTGTGAAACTAGTGGGCTTTTATGACACTTGTGTTTACCTTAGCTTCTGGAGACTTCTTACTCTGGGCAGTTTAAAAGATGGGTCTTGGTTTACAAACTAAATTATCTCTCACAGCACTCTGAGCCATTCTCTTTAAATCAGACTTTCTGTAATGATGGCTCTGTGGATCAGAATGAATTTACAGCGTTTTCCAAAGACAGAGCCTGGAAATTTCTATTTGCAGGTTACTCGAAAGGGGGGGGGGGGGGGGAACCGCACAGCGTTTCTTGTTCTGCACACAAGGTCTCCCAGTGCCACCTTATGGACACTTCAGGAATTGCAGATGGGTTTTACTTGCCCATTCAGCTAATGGCCAGGAATCCTAACAACTGTCTCCAGAAGGTTATGTTCCTTTCTCTTAATATAAGACAGAACACGGAAAACACAACCAAAGCCCATGTCATAATTTAAAATGTGTTTTGAGAAGTCTATTACAAATGCCTATATAGGAAGCCAGTGCAATGCTTCTTACATTTTCCACAGTGAATTTCTCTGGTGTGACTCAGTTTCTTTGTGTTTAGGTAAATTAGAGAAAAAGGGTATATGCAGACATCCCCAAGTCTATTTTAACTTAAATCCCGAGTGCTTTATGTCTTTACCCTGTTCAGAAAGTTGCTGCAATTTCACTTTCTCTTATTATTTACTTATTTGTTTATTTATTTGTTTGTTTTTGAGATATGGTCTGGTTACATAGCCAAGGATTCTAGATGGGTCTAGAACTTCTGTGGATGGAGCAGTCAGCCTCCTGAGTGCTGGAATTCCAGTGTATCCACACGGAAGCTGTGGGCTTCATTTATGTTGAACATTGGATTTTCTCTAAGCAAGATATGTGTGGTATGGTTTAACTCAGGCGGAATGGAGGTCAGACGCAATGCCAATAGCTTCTTGTACTCAAGAGATGATTTTTTTTTTTTTTTTGAGTGCCTACTTAGAAAGCAACTGCACTGGGGCCTTTGTGCACAAGATAGTCAGGGCTGAGAGAGGGAAGGATCACCCGTAGTGTTCACACAGTAGCCTGTTTTCACTTCTTTTCTTCCGCCAGCTGAGACAAAGAAGAGCCGTTTATTCACTGCTATTTGCTAGGTGACCACAGTGCCTAAGGGCTGCTCATGGCATAAACATCTTATTTCCCAGAAATCCATGCAGATCATTCTCACTTCTTTCAGTCTCTGTTTGGAGTTCTACTTTTCTGTGAGAGCCTTGTTGACCAGCCATTTGCATTGGGGCAGTGGCAACTCTCCTCGGCCCCTGTCTTCTTAGGATACACACCCTGCATCCGTCCCTGGTAATGCTTAGCTACCTGTAGCGTGTGCACGCATGAGCACTCAGAAGCGAGCCACCGAGGGAGAGGAAGGGTGACCAGCGTGTGGTCTGTCTGCACATCAGTTCTGCCTCTTTTTCTGATATTTGGCTTTGGCCCTGTTGCTCTACCTCTGTGATTTAGCTGCCACTTACCCGAAATGGGTTTGACCAAGTGATTATCGTATCCTCTCCCATGTGATTTTGGTTCTATCATGCCAATATGAATTTGCATCATCTGAGGTAAACTGTGAAGGCCAGGGTGTATCTGTCCTATTAACCTCAGTGCCTAGTATTGTGTTCAGGTCTACAGTAAACACTTGATAAATCTAAATGCTTTAGTCTTTCCAAAGAGACCTTGAGGGGTGGCACTGTCTTCAGCTTCTGCACTTTTCTCCAGGCTTCACTCTACTGCCTTTTGGAGTAAGCTTGGGGACAGAAGAGCAATTCTGAGTAGCTGAGAAAGAGGGTTAACTGATCATGTCTAAAAACATGTGGACACCTCCTCCCCCACCCACCCACACACAAAAGGAGCCACCAACTCACCTAAGAGGACAAAGATGCAGGCCAGGATGGCGATGAGGGCACCCCGGCTCAAGCTGACTGGGAGTATGTAGGCCTCTGGGCTGCAGGACATGACTTGGCCATCATCATTGCAGCTGCACACTTGGATGGTAAGCGTGCCGGTGCTGCTGAGCGAGGGCTGTCCGCTGTCCGCTATGAGGATGGGGAGGTAGAAGACACTCTGCTCCTTCTGTCGAAAGCCGGACCTCCTGGTTAGAATCCGAGCAGTGTTATCTGAAGGAGTGAGGCATTTAGGAGAGAGAAGAAGAAGAAGAAGAAGAAGAAGAAGAAGAAGAAGAAGAAGAAGAAGAAGAAGAAGAAGAAGAAGAGAATGAAACGAAAGTTCCGGGGGTTTAATTTCTTGGATTGAAGAAGGCAGGGAGTCAGGGACAGGGTAGAGGAAGGAGAGCGGTTGGGAGGTGTGTGCTGTGTGCAGCTGCGGCCAGCCGTGGCAGATTGCTTCGGCTCAGCACTTAGATTTGAAAATAAAGATTTTTTGCTTGCTTCCAGGCAAAACCCTGAGGCCTAAGAGAGGAGCCCTTTTGTGAGAATCTGTCTTACCCTTTGTGACATAAAGTGCCCAGGGCAAACTGTCAGCCTTCAGATCTAACACAAGTTCCCTGGGAAAACTTGACAGAAATGAGCAGTCGTTGGTGATTTTTGGTCCCTGTTTATTCCTGCTCAGCAGCTGGCCAAGGCCCTGGGCTGCTTGCTGCCCCTAGGAAAGGGAAGCCGAGGAGCCCATGTGGTTGTACAGGATTGCTTATTTTTGCTATTCTGGCCGGAATTCACATCTTTTGCTATTTTCTTTTATGCCTCTCACTTGGTGTTACCAACTTCCTGAAGAACTTGTCGTTTTCAGAAGCTTATTTGATCCCCTGGTTATAGGACACAGCTTGCAATGTGTCCTGGCCTGCGGGCTGAGTTTATGCAGTTAATGTGACTTTGATGAGCTCTGTTCTTTTAATTATTAGCTTTTATTTTATGCACGTGCACGTGGCTATTTTTCCCAAGTGCATATTTGTACACCACTGTGTGCCTCGTGCCTGCAGTGGCCGGAAGAGGGTGTTGGGTCCCCAGGAACTAGGGTTAGAGATGATTGTCAGGTGTCATGTGGGTTCTGGGAATTGAACCTGGATCCCCTGGAAGAGCAGCAGGTGCTATTAACTGTCGAGTCATCTTTTAGCCCTTGTGAAAATTATGCTATTAATTTCTTCCCATTTAAAAAATAAGAATTTAGTACTTTTTTCTATTTGAAAACTAAGAATTTTAATTAAAAGATAATTATTCCTTTTGGAGATATAGCATGATGCTTTGTGATATTTTTTCATGGTCTAACGATCAACTCAGGGCATGTAGACAATGCCTTAGTTTTTGTGTGAGGAACTTGTCTGTATAAGTTTGTTCCTATGCCCATGTATGTTCACATGTGTCTCGAGGCCAGAAATTAAGGCGAGTTGTTTTCCTTGCTCTTCACTTTAGTTTCTGAGCCGGAGTCTCTCCCTGAACCTGGGTCTCTTCAGTGTGGACAGGCTGCCTGTGAACTCTGGAATCCATCTGTCTCCCTCTACTCAAGAGTTAAGCCTAGCGACGTGCACTGCCACACCTGGCTTTTACAAGTGAGCTAGGCTCTGAACTCAAGTTCTCACGCTTGCACAGTGAGTGTTTACTGACTCAGCCGTCTCCCCAGCCTCCTAGTCATCACCTTAAATATTTCTCATTTCTTTGTAATTACAACATTACAAAATCATCCTCCTGTTGATGTCGACCCTCACATTATACCCGATTAAATGCTTCTATGTACAGAACACAATTCTTTTTTTTTAGCTAAGTGGTTAGATATGTTTCTCAAAGTTCTCCATGTGGGCAACTGTAGTGATGTTGATATTTGCTAAATAATATAAAGTTTTAGATTTACGAATTTTAAAACTTATATTTTAAGTTACCTGGAAAGGCTTTGAGTTATGAAGCAGTGCTTTTTTTTTTTTTTTTTTTTTTTTTTAACATTGTGGTCATTTCAGCAGAGGAATAGTTTGAGAGATGTGGTAGGATACATAAGAAGTAATTTATAAAGCCAAAATCAATCTGGATATGGTGGCACCACCTGCCTGTAATCTTGGAGCTGGGGAAGGGGGCTGAGGCCAGAAGAACTGCAGAAAGTTCTAGGCTAGCAAGGGCTACAGAGTGAGGACCTGCTAAAAACAACCAAACAAAATAAACAACAAAACCAACAAAAATGATACTATTAACAGGATATTTTTCTGGATGTGTTTCACATGGACTAGAAGTTTATACAATTTCTAAAAGCTTAAAGCAAACATGGCTAGTGAGCATCAATATTTCTGGTTCTTCTCTTCTTGAAGTAATATAGGACCATGTTTTCTTATTGTTTTTAAGTTGGGCATTACAAAATAATTTTTTTAATTGATGCAAAATGAGCAGGTAGGAGCTGGTGTCTGACTCCCCTTGTTATCTTTCCTTGAAGTCATAATTGAAAGAATGCAAGAACCAGGCAGCCTGAAACACAACTGAATGAGGTGGATAACTTCCAGGTGCCACACAAACCATTTTAACACACTCTCCCTTAATTTATGCATACTTGCCTCCGTGTTTTGTTTTGTTTTTAATGGTACCAGGTAGGTGTTTTGTTTTACATTCAAGTGCCAGTTTTTGTATTTTGTACATGTTATGATGCGGAATGATTCCTCCCCTTTACAGTGAGAGAATTAGAGCCTCGGTTCATTTCCATTTCTTTGTAGTCACTAATTTAGAGAGCAGGAAAGCTTGTATTTGAGCTCTGGCTACACAGACTCTAAATCACGTACTCCTTTTGTGGTACTATACAACTGCTATTTAGTTTAGCATTAGTGGTGTGATAGCTTTTTTAATTTATTTGTTTATTTATTTTGTCTGTTTTACACAAGCTGGTCTCATTTTGGAAGAGGGAACTTTGAGAAAATGCTCCCACCAGATTGGCCTACGCCTTTTTATGGATTGATAATTGATGTGGGAGGGAGCAGCTCCCTGTGGGCAGTGCCACCTCTGGGCTGGTGGTTCTTAATGCTGTAAAAGACGAGCAAGCCAATATGCTGTGTTCATTCTTCCATGGCTTATGCAACAGTTCCTGTCTCTAGGGTCCTATCTTGAATTCCTGCCCTGATTTCCCTCAGTGATGGAGTGACATGAGAGTTGTAGGTGGAATAAAGTCTTCTCTCACCAGGTTGTTTGGGTTATGGTGCCTTATCACAGCAGTAGAAATCCTAAGACAGTGGTCAGACTTGTTCAGATAATTATAATTGTTTTCTGCTTTGACATAGGTTTACTTTCACCTTATTTTCTTCTCAGTGCAAAATGACAGCAATCAACTATTAGGCTAACTTATTTATTTAGGGTCTTTATTTACCCATTTACCACAGAACCCATTCTCTGCCTCTCTCACTGGATTTAATAGCTAGCTGCTGTTAATTATTCTCTGCAATTTTATTTTTTTCAAAAATCAAATTTTCTTTAAACAAAACTTGTATTTATTTTAATTTGACCCAGATCACAAGGATTTTGAAAAAGGCTGACATAGAGTTGAAACAACAACAACAACAACAAAACATAATAACAACAACAAAAAAAAAATCCACCCAGAACTTTATATTACATGGATAAGTCTGGCCCTCTTGAGACTAGCATATATTAGCCATTTGAAATGTTTTTGTTAAGAGTGATAACAAGAGATTTGGTAATTTTTTTTTAGAAAGAGTATGTATTTCTAAGGTAACAGGGAGCTAGTGTGTGTGTGTGTGTGTGTGTGTGTCTGTCTGTCTGTCTGTCTGTCCATGTGCAGGTGCTAGAACAAGAAGTTAGAGTAACAATTTCTAGTACCAGTCTGTCTTTTATGTAGTGTTGAGATGGAACCAAAGGCCTTGTATGTGAAGGATGTGCTCTATTGCTGAGCTGCACCCCATTCACTTTTCCCATTCTTAATGATTGCTTACTCTCTGATCTTGTGTTATTTGCATCTGTTAATGGGACTATGAAAATCATACTTTAAAGGGTCATTATAAATGCCCAATAAAGCAAAGCTGAGAAAATGATTTTGAAACTTTAAACTGTTCTATAATATAACAACCTGTTCCATGTTTTGCGTCAACAAAATAACAACAACAACAACACAAAGCTGGGCATGATGGTATGTAGTGTATATGTCCTTGTAATCCCATCGCTTGGGAGGCAGATACAACAGGGCCACTGAGGCCAGGAAAGGTCTGCATTTCAAGTTCCAGTACACTGGATTTACATACACAGTGAGGCCTGGTCTCTAAAATCCAAAGCCAAACAAAAAGATAAAGAAGAAGAAGGGGTGGGATGAGGACATTGCATAGTGGTAGAGGGCTTGCCTAGCATGTGCAAGGCCCTAGATTTGAGCCACAGTGGTTCCACAACCCCTACTAAAAAAGGCTTTATTGTGTTGCCAAAGGTGGGGACAGGGATGATGGACTGTGGGTCTGTTTTTAATAACTTCTAGAAAAAAAAATACCTGTGTGATAAATTGTCATCTGGAGGTTAGGAGTTCACACATTGTGTTGAAGACTCACTGACTTCCATTTTGAGAAACTTTCAAGAGATGAGTGACCTCCTTTTGTCACAGTTTTCTACTCACCCATCTGCATATGGCACGGCTTCCATGAGCAGTTCCCAAAGCCACCTTTAAGAAACGTGCATCTTTTTGCTGCATGTTGTTTTTTGTGTTCTTCAGGTATGAATGAAGAGAGTGACACCTAGCTAAAAACTCGAAGAAAAACTCTAATGCCAGCTCTTCTTACCCTAGGGTTAAGACTCTTGCAGAAAACCTGAGTTCTGTCCTTAGCATCCACTCCACTTCAAAGAATCTAACGCCTTTGTCCCCCAGCCCCCCGGCACTTGAGCTCACATGTGCACACACATTATTAAAAATAAAAGACCAAAGGAAAATATCTGATTCCAACCTCTGACACAAGCACTACCCATGTGTACCCATACATGTGAATGCAGCACACACCACCATAAACACACAAAAATCTGAAGCTATTTAATTGTAAAATTCTTTCTGTAGATATTTTATGGTAATTAAAAGGCCGAAGAATACTTCTATTTATGAGATTGTAGCAATTTTTTAGTCTTCAAAATGAAGTTTGAGAGGAAGACAAATCTTGCCTGATCTTTTTGTTAACCTTTGTTTAAATTGCTAGGAAGTCACCCTTAAGATGAGTGTGTTGAAGCCCAGTGAAGTGAGGACTCCCAAGTCAGTTAGTTTGCTGCAGAATTAACAAAGGGATTCACCCAACAGTCAACAGCTTGGTTTCAATTGTTCTGACCTTTCTTTGAAGTATATCGTGCTGGAGAACAAAAGAATCTCCCTACTTAAGCCCCAAGCATATGCTAAGTCTCTGAATCCCTCTGCTAATGAGCACTTGTTGGAAAGGTCCTAGAAGGGAGCAAGCATTTTTTGCAATGGGAACCCCACCTGAGTAGGTTTTTCTGCACTAGAAAGTTGTTTGAGGCAGGTGTGATTGCAGATGATTATAGTCTCAGTACTCTGCAGGCTTGGGCAGGAGGAACGTACATTTGAAGCCAGTGCAGGTTACTTTGCCAGATCTTGTCTCCAAAGGAAAAAAATTTGAATTCTGTGAATACTGTCATGTTCTTGTATTTGCGTTTTTTCTTCCTTTATTATTATTATTATTAATTTTGTTAATATAGCCGTTCTTCTTTTGTTGTGAAGGCTTTTTATTCCTCCCCCTTTAGTTTTTATATCTTTGATTAGAAATGTTCCTTCAGGTTTGTTTTCTTTCTCTAAGGCACTTTTCCTCTTAGGCTGTTTCTGTCTTTACAGAACATGTAAATACGGTTGCTCTGAATTTGACTAAAGGAAGAAAATTTATCACTGCACCTTGGATTATGTCTCTTACACATCAAGTATCAATAAATGTTTGTCAACTGACTGAGGAATGAAAGCTTTAGAGACAGCAGAGGGCACTCTTTGTCTTTGATGTTATGAAACAAAACCCTGGGGACTGCAAATTAGCATTAATGTCCTCCCTGTTATTAAAAAGGTCTGAAAACTTGATACTGTTTGTATGGTGTAGGTATATTAACTCAAAATGTCTAGGAGCAGTAGGAAAGTGGAAAAATACAGATAGCCCATGTCCACCCAATTACCTTGGTTGTCCCTGACAGTAAAGTTGGGGTTGTTAGCAGCCTCAGGAGCCAAACTGTAGTAGAAATGCTGACCATTGTGAGGGTCATCTTGATCCACGGCACTCACTGTCTGGATCAGCTAAAGGAGGGACATGAATTCAGGGTGAGTTGCAGCCAAAGGAAAAGCAAAGTCTAGTGAAACCCTAAATAACAGTAAGTCATTTAGCCAATGAGATGTCCTGAAACTATCCTGGAAACTAATCCTATAGTTTAAGATTAAGTAAGCATATTCTTGATCTTGACTATGTTGATAGGTAAAGGATAAATGTTGCCTACATGCTTCAGATGCTCCCACATACTCCCACATCTTAGCCAGTTACTTTAAAAAGAAGACAGTGTAAAAAGAAGACTTGTAAAAAGAAGACAGTGAAAGAACCATGGAGTGTCCCTACATATCCCCAGTTTTCTTCTCTCACCTAATCTGTATCCCATCTTTAAGTGAGCATTTTGTAGCTAAGTTGTTATCTTGAAGAAGCCCCCACTTAAGAATAACCTAGAACACAAACAGAGCAGAGTTAAGCTATGGAATGTGGCTTCAAGGAGTGTGGACCACAGAGCAGTCATGCTTTATTAGGAGGGAGGGAGTTAGAGAAGGTAGAGAGCTAGTTTGGCTAAGGGTTTGTCTATCTTGTTGATTTTCTCAGAGAACCGCTTTTTAGTTTCATTGATTCTTATATTGTTCTCTTTGTTTCTAAGTTATTGATTTTAGCTGTGAGATTAATTATTTTCTGCTGTTTGCCCTCTTGGGTGTGTTTGCTTCTTTTTGTTCTAGAGCTTTCAGATGTGCTGTTAAGTTGCTAGTATGTGAACTCTCCAATTTCTTTGTGAAGGTACTCACTACTATGAACCTTCCTCTTTGCACTGCTTTCATTGTATCTCATGAGTTTGAATATGTTGTGCCTTCATTTTAATTGAAATATAGAAAATCTTTATTTCTTTCTTTGTTTCTTCCCAAACCCAGTCGTCATTGACTAGAGGGTATGGGGGGTGACTCTAGCTAACACTCCTACTAGCAACGATTTTGAAGACTGAAGAGGCTACCTTCTAGACAGACAGGACTTCTAGTGGAGGGGAGGGGAACACCAAACCACCAAGAAAAAAAAAACAAAAAACAAACAAACAAACAAACAAACAAAAAACAACCTTAGACCCCAAATTTACCCTGCCTACAAGATGTGCAAAGATAAACTTAGAGCAGAGATTGAGGGAATGTCCAGCCAATATCTGGCCCAACCTGACACATACCCCAGGGGAGAAAGCCAACCACTGACACTATTAATGCTACTTTCTATGCTTGCAGACAAGAACTAGCATAGTTCTCCTCTGAGAGGCTCCACCAAGCAGTGGATTGAAACAGATGCTGAGACTCACAGCCAAACATTAGGTGGAGGACTGGGAGACTTGTGGAGAAGTCAGGAGAAGACTAGAAGGGCCCGGACTGGACACAAATTCCACAAGAAGACCAACGGAGTCAACTAACCTGGGCCCAAGGATTCTTGTGGAGACTGAAGCATCAACAAAGGACCCTGCCTGGACTGGACCTAGGCCTCCTACACATATGTAGCTGATGGGCAGCTTAATCTTTATGTGGGTCCAGTAATAAAGGGAGCAGGGGTTGTCTCTGACATGGACCCTGTTGCCTGCTTTTTGGTCACTTTCCTTTTGTGGGGCTGTGTTGTGTGGCCTCAGTGAAAGAGGATGCACTTAATCCTGGTGTGACTTGATGTGCCAGGTAGGTTGCAGGGATGGGGGATCCTTTTTTCTGAGGAGGCAGGGAGGGAAGGTAGGGAGAAGAGGGAGGGTGGGACCAGGAAGAGAGGAGGGAGATGGCTATGATTGGGATGTAAAATGAATATATATGTAATAAAAATATTAATGAAAAAGAAAAGGTGTAAAACATAAGTTCATCAGGATGGGAAGCAGACTACAGTCAGAGGTGTGAGGATGTAGCTCAGTTGAGAAAAATAAAATAAAAATTGCAGCTTAGTGACAGGGAGAGCAAGAGGGATTCTGCTTGATCACTCTGGCCAAGTTCTGTCTTTCCCTCAATGTTCTTCAAAGGAATATCTTTTATGAAGGCTATGGAAATTCAACGGGAAAGCCACTAAAGAAAGCAGGAGGAACTAGACAGTTGGAACATTCCTTGTAGGCAGTGGTAGGGAAGGTTATGGACAGAGTTTTGATTAGCTTGCTTCCATTGGTGTTTACTCTAACATCCTGTAGCACAGATGGTCCTAGTTAACTTGGGCCTGGCCCTGTAAAGCCTGCTATTTCTGCTGGAAATGCTGTTTTTCTTTCAGAACAGAAATGACTTATCAAATTCATCTTGAGGGACCAAGTGGACTTTTAATACTGGAGATTAGAGGGGCTACCCAGCAAGGGATTTCTGCATACTGTTCAGATCCTCCAAGGACTCTTCTGCTCTTCATCTGCCTGTCTCTTTAGGGATCACCTTCATTGCAGCTGGCCAGCCACCTAACCCGTGGTTATCACATCCTTTGAGGGCAACCTGGAAACAGTGATGAGTGGGTGCAGGGTAGTACAAAGGCCTCACTCTCCCCCTTAAACTTGGGACTTAAACTTATTCTAGAACTTTGTAAGGATGTTAATTTAATAGCTCTTTATTGCAGCTAGACCTTTTTTTTTTTTTTTTTTTTTTTTTTTTTTTTTTTTTTTTGGCTTGGTCCCTCTACCTTTCATTTTCATAAGTCTTAAAAACATCATCTATTAGAACTCCATCTCAGGGTAAGCCTCCTGGAATACCTGATCACTGAATCTAAAAGTGGATGGAATGGAATAGTAACAAGGCCAAGGGTCAGGGGAGAAGGGGAGATAGTCGTAGACAGTCCTAACTCATGCTAGTGCTGCTCACAACCTAGGGTACCATCTGCCTTAACTCCATGGAGAGGCAAATCCTGTCCTGTTTTATTTTGATTGTCAAATGTAAAGGGATGAAATGTTTCCTAGGGAATGTTTTGAATAGATAACACAGTAGAACAAATTTTAAGACAGATCGTAAAACCGTGTGTGTATTGGTGAGATGGGACTTTGAAAGGTAGGTAGTCAGAATGGTGGAGTTCACAGTGGGAGCACCCTGGCTGGGTTTATTGGCCTCCATTCTCCTGACAGTCCCTAGCCCCACTTGTCTAACATCTTGCTTAGCACTCTTTGTTTTTCCATCTTTAACCATCGGGCATGCACTTCACTGTTGTATGGCCTTCATCCACTATGAGTAAGAGGAGAACACGCACATGCACTTGGCAGAGGTGATAATGACCACAGTGTTAGCACAAGAAAACTAGATGAATTATATAACAATGCCATAACCTTAGCTATGTCCTTTTGAAGCCCTTCTAAACCAGAGCCCACTTCATAGGCTAGGATTTTTCATATTTTGGGCTGAAGATGACAGATGGAAAAGGCTTGTGACAATGTCCCCTAACTCCAAGTCACAGATAAATGGCATTTCAAAGACTTTCACAAAGGACCATTAGAGATGTCCTTGGAAGTGGAGGACACATGTGGCTCCAAACGCAGGAGTGGCGGTTAGATGCTATTCACTTTTCATAGTGCAACCTTCTGTCTCAGCACCTTCAAGACAGAAAGTGCTGTGTTTCGAGCAAAGAGGGTGCTTCCCTCATTGTACTACATAGCATTATCTAAATTCATAACTACAGTTAGCCTCTTTTGTCATGGCATAAAATATACCTATATTAAATTATGTTTTATAGTAAAATAAAAATATGCTGTATTATGGGTAATAATCAAAAAGCATGATAGCAAAAGAAATCCTCTTAAAAGCCCAAACCACCTAGTCAGAGCTTTAAAAGCCCTGCTCACTTAGAAGAACTTGCCCATTGCACACAGTAACTCTGCTGTATTATGTGTTCTCTCTGACCTTGTCTCATGTGTAACATAATCTACAAAACTGCGGGCTTGTTAATGTGGCTCTTTACAGCTCTGACCATGGATCCTGCCTTGCTCAACAAAGCTTTTATTGTAATTGTTGTTAGTGAATGTAATATCTTAGGCCTTCTTAGACTAGAAATTTAATAAATATGGAAGTACAATTATCTTAGACTTGGAAAAAGCTTTTAGGAGTGATGCAGACCATTGCAACAAATTGTAAGAATCAGTGTTGAGGTCAGTTTGGATTTGAGTCACTGCAGGGCTTCTTGCTTTCCAAAAACAAAGTCACTTTCTTTGGCTAGAAGACAAAGACATGTTGGGCTAAGGATGTTGAAAGAGCTCAAGTAAGTGTTGGTCCTAGGGACATAGCTTTGTGCAGAGGGTGCTTGGGTGATGTTCCAGGCAAGCGGCAGAAGTGAGGGCAAATCTGGGTTGTAGTCAGTCTGAGTGACTATCTGGTCAGATGTGGACTTCTCAAATCTCTGATTTTCATACTAAAATGATCTTGACCCATTTGTTCTACCAGAATGTATAGGACCCCAGTATATGCTCTAAGACAGATGCTAAGACTCCTAATGGAGGAAGGATGCATACAAGGAACAGAAGGGAAGTTATGGAAGGACAGATAGCAGATGCGCACTACCTGACAAAGCATTAATATGTGGTCACTGAAAATGGAGTTCTGGATGTTTCTCAGTCCAACCATTTGGAATTTGTAATACAAGATTAAGCTTAGAAATGAACTTTAAAAATATATTTCTGAAAATTTGGTTAGTTCTGTAAGCTGAGAATTCTGTGAGCCAGGAATTGTTAAAGCACTATTCAGTCCACAAAATGTAATTTTGGCTCCAAGTGATTGTCTTAACAAATAAATGACTGGAACCTGATATAAAGAAATTGAAGATTCTGTTTTCTAATCTATAGTTTCTGGTGTGGGCATGTTGTTGATCATGAATTCAGTTATTGTGCTGGTTAATTTTATGCCAACTTGATATGAGATAAAGTCATTTGGGAAGAGGGACCCTCAACTGAGAAAATGCTTCCATAAGATTGGCCTCTAGGCAAGTCTGTAGAGGATTTTCTTGATTAATGGTTGATATGGAAGGTCCCAGCATGTTGTTGGTAATGCCACTCCTGAGGAGGTGATCCTGGGTTGTGTAAGAAAACAGATCAAAGCTGGGTGTGGTGTTGCACTCCTGTCATCCTAGCATTCAGGAGGCAGAGGCAGGTGCATCTCTATGAGTTCAAGGCTAGCCTGGTCTACAAAGCAAGTCCAAGACAGTCTAGGCTACACAGAGAAACCAAGGCTCACGAAAAAGAAAGAAAGAAGGAAGGATAGAAATAAAGAAGCAAAGAAAGAAAGAAAGAGAAAGAAAGAGAAAAAGAAAGAAGAATGAGTCAGCTCTGAGGAGCAAGCCAGTAAGCAGCTCTCTTCCATAGCCTCTGCATTAGCTCCTGCCTCCTCCAGTTTCCTCTACTGCTTGAGTTACTGCCTTGATTTTTCCCTCGGTAATGGACTATGAAAAGTGAAAGTATAGGATGAAATAAAGCCTTTTCTCCCTCAATTACTTTTGGTCATAGCAGTTTATCACAGTGATCGAAACCCTTTCTAAGACAGTTATATTTTACAGTTTGTTCATCTGGGGTTTACCAAGGTGATCACCTTACCTGTCCAGCTTTGGCATTCTCACAGATAAAAGCTTCATAGAATCTGGGAAACTCTGGAGCATTGTCATTCACATCTAAGACTTTGATTGTGACAGTGACACTTCCCACTTGGGAGGGATTGTCTAGAGAGAACATAAGGAACATTGACAGTGAGCTCAGTAAGGGAGAAAGACAGTTTTGTCAATCCGGTTTATCAAGGAATGGATAAAATTTGTGGAAATTATAACATTGTTATAGTGTATGTGCTCCCTGTTGAGAGTGTGGCCATGCACAACCTGGGACACAAGGATGCATCTTCTGGGAGTGGGGTTGTCATTGGGGATTATGCAGAAAAGGGCAAGGCTTAAAAGGGGAGCAAGTGCTACAAAAACCAAGTTTGCCTCCCACTTGGTTCACACTTTGGGCTACAGCATTAAAGGTCAATTCTGTATTCTAGGATTTCCAATAGCCCATTCCAATTAAAATGTGTGATTATGAAACATTGGGCTTTACTTAGGTCAAGTAATCAAGTTTCAAGTTATGCACGGAGATACATAGAACACTGCACATTTATTTCTGCCTAGGGACCAAAAGGATTTTACAGGGTCAAGCTCATTCCAAAGCTACAGGTTTGGCCAGGGCAGGAGCCATGGGCACCCATGGAGAAATGTGTATTTTGGTTTGTGACTTGAAATTGCTGCCTGGAAACAAGTGCACATCGCCCATACTGCCTGTCTATTCTTTCTGTTTTGGTCTCCACCATGGAGACAACAGCAATCATAAGACAGAAATGTGAGAGACTTTGCTACACTTCAGAATACATTGTTCTTTGGGTTCACTTTTTTCTTTCTTTCTCAAAAATATTTATGTTTTACTGTCCCCATCCCCAAATAAATCTGTCTACATTAAGCTGTTCTGGGGGAAAGGTGGTGAGTTAGAAGCTGTCTCTATGTGATTACCATGAATGAAAAGCCAGACTAACGAAGGGAGAAAGAGAGGAACTGTGTCAGAGACTTCAGTACAGAGATGAAAGCACAGAAGCAGAAAGGCTGCACAACAAACGTAAGGAAGCCATCTGTGGCTGTGGCCCTACAGGGAGGAGGAGCGATAGATCTCTGGAGTAAGAAACTGCCTGGATCACAAATTGCAAAGTTAAGTGTACACAGTTAGTAGTGCTTGCTTGTACACTAAGAAGGAATGTTATTAACACAAATACAGCTCTGTCAGGGATAACTGATACTTCATGGGTTCACACTCCAGCTGATGACTCCTCCACCTGACAGGCTCCAAAACTAGATGTTTGGGGAAAAAGCTGCTTCAGGATTTCTCTACTCATTGAGTTTTTATAGTTTGCCATACTTTTAGTATCTGCTTGATTGATTGATTTAAATTATAGCATTTTTATGTATGTGTGTGTGTAGGCATCCGTGCCGCTGCCCATGTGTGGAGTCAGTTTTGCTCTTTCACCTTCACGTGAGCTCCAGTTTACACTGGCCACTAAGTGTGTGAGCGTTTAAACTGCTCAGCTGTCTCACTAGCCCGTTATTTTTCTTTTTAAATGAAACTTTTATGATTATTTTTTTTCAAGACAGGGTTTCTCTCTGTAGCTTTGGCTGTCTTGGACTCACTTTGTAGACCAGGCTGGCCTCAGAGAGATCTGCCTGCTTTTGTGATTTTTATTTTTCTCGTAATGCTATCTTGTTTTGCTTATGTAGTTTTCTTTTTAAAGATTTATTGTGTGTATGAGTGTTTCACTTCCATTTAAGTGCAGCATGTGTGTGCCTGTAGAGGCCAGAAGAGGTTGTCAGATTCTCTGGGACTGGAATTAGAGATGGCTGTGGGCCATCATGTGAATTCTGGGAATGGAACCTGGGTCCTTTCCAAGACAATATGTGCTCTTAAATACTGAACCAACTCTCTAGCCCTATGCGTTTTTCTTTATTATACAATAATATTTTATCTATGCTTTGCTTTTACTCTTTCTTGTAACATCCTTTTCCTTTTTTATTTAACTTTAATGATTCATCTTGCTCCTCATCCCCTTTATTTCTTTTATTATTTTTATATAATTAACTAAAATGTTCCCTGTATGTATGTATATGCATGCTGTGTGTAATATGCGCATGTGCCAGGCATGGTATCGTGTGTGTGAAGGTCAGAGGACAACTTTGTGGACTCAGTTCTCTTTTTCCATCTTTATGTAGATTCCAGAGATCAGCCTCTAGTTTTTGTGGTAAAAAACAAACAAACAAACAAACAAACAAACAAACAAACAAAAAACAGAGAATTCTCTGTAGAGGAATATAGAATGGCAGATAAATACTTAAAGAAATGTTCAATGTCATTAGTCATCAGGGAAATGCAAATTAAAATGACCCTGAGATTTCACCTTACACCCATCAGAATGGGTAAGATCAAAAACTCAAGTGACAACACATGCTGGAGAGGATGTGGAAAAAGGCCACTGTTGGTGGGAATGTAAACTTCTCCGACCACTCTGGAAATCAATCTGGCACTATCTCAGACAATTAGAAATAGTGTTTCCCCAAGATCCAGCTATACTCCTCCTAAGCATATATCCAAAAGATGCTCAAGTATACAACAAGGACATCTGCTCAACCATGTTTGTAGCAGCTTTATTTGTAATAGGCAGAAACTGGAAACAACCCAGGCCCCTCAGTTGAGGAATGGATACAGAAATTGTGGTATAGCTACACAATGGAGTATTACTCAGCAATAGAAAACAAGGAAATCATGAAATTTGCACGTAAATGGTGGGAAAACTGGAAAAGATCATTCTGAGTGAGGTATCCCAGAAGTAGAAAGACACACAGGGTATATACTCACTCATAAGTGGATATTAGACATATAACATAGGATAAACATACTAAAATCTGTACACCTATGAAAACTAATCAAGGAGGACTCTGGCTAAGATGCTCAATCCCCATTCAAAAAGGCAAAGAAGATGGACATCGGAGGAGGGAGAAAACAGGGAACAGGACCAAAGCTTACCACAGAGGGCCTCTGAAAGCTCTACCCTGCAGGGTGTCAAGGCAGATACTGAGACTCATAGCCAAACTTTGGGCACAGTGCATGGAATCTTATGAAAGAAGGGAGAAATAGTAAGACCTGAAAAGGACAGGAGCTCTACAAAGAGAGCAACAGATCCAAAAAGTATGGGCACAGGGGTCTTTTCTGAGACTGATACTGCAGCCAAGGACCACTCATAGAGATGGCCTGGAACCCCTGCACAGAGGTAGCCCATGGCAGTTCAGTGTTCAAGTGGGTTCCATAGTAATGGGGACAGGGACTGTCTCTGACAGGAACTGATTGGCCTGCTCTTTGATCACCTTCCCTTGAGGGGGGAGCAGCCTTACCAGGCCACAGAGGAAGACAATGCAGCCACACCTGATGAGACCAGATAGAGTAGGAGGGAAGGGGAGGAGGACCTCCACTATCAGTGGACTGGGAGAGAGACATGAGTGGAGAAGAGAGAGGGAGGGTGGGATTGGGAGGGGAGGAGGGAGGGAAGTACAGGGGGGATAAAAGTGAATAAACTGTAAGTAATAAAAATAAAAATAATTTTAAAAAGTCTATTCTATCTAAGCCATCTTGCTAGCCTTAACTAAATGATTTTCTGAACTTATAGATTACGTTATTTTTTCACTTGTTCATCTATGTCATCATTGATAGCATAGGAGGCTATAATCCTTTTTAAAAGTGTTTTCGTATCTGATTTGATTTAGTCTCAGTACTGTTAAAGTGGCCTGTGTTTTCCTTTCTTGAGTGGTATTAGAATTGAGCCCCCAAGAAAAGACTGCTTTGCAAACCCAATAATAAACTGGAAAAGATAACTGTACTAACAGCTGTGCAAATCAGAAAATAGAAACACAAATGTGAAAAAGTAACATGTCTCTGCCAAAGATCATCTACATTCAGCAATATGAAATAGTTAAAATGCCAAACAAAGAATACATTTGACTGATGATTTGCAAGAGGATACAAACAAGCGGACTAATGAGATAAGGAAGGCAGTGCAGAGCCTGAATAAGAATGTACCAAATTCATCAAGGAAATTGAAATTTTGATGAAAAAAAAAAAGCACTAAACAATTTTTCGAAAGGAAAAGTAATATGTGAACAACTAAAAAGCAGCACCAGTGAACTAGGTTAAGGACTGAAACAAAGTTGAGGAAATATTGTAGTCAGATGTCAATAATGGAATAATTTAGCACCACCACAGCTTTCAAGAACTCTGAAGCATTGAGAAGAGAGCAACCATAGGAATTTATAGGGTAGAAAGGGCTACGATATAATCTAAAGGTACAGAAAACCTCGTCACAAAATTATTGCATAACATTCCAAGAAATTAACATCAAAGTGCAAATGACATTCAGAACACTGAGTATCCATGTCCAGAAAAGAACCTGTCATCATAGTTATAATGCTAAGATTACACAACAACAATAATAGTAAAGGCTGCAAGAGGGAAACACTAACTGAAAAAGAGCAAACCCATCAGAATAACACTAGAATCTTCATTAGAGACCCCAATGTCCAGGAAAACATGGAAAGATAGTTTTTCAAATAATCATTGAAACTAAATAACTGCCAACTGAGATTACCCATAGTCAACAAAATTATTATTTAAAAATAATTGAAATGAGTATAATGAGAATAAACTAAAGCATTTCTTGACCACTAAACCTGTATTGCAGAAGATGAATATTATGAATTAAATGAATATTATACATGGGAGAAATAAACATAGTAGTAAATATGGGAGGTCAAGAAAAGATGAGTTTTCTGAGATGAATAAATAAATGAACAAAGGTGAACTGGGAAAGAACCAGTCATGCCTGACACAGTAAACCAGGAAACCACTAATATTAATAGTAGAGAAAGAAAAATCAAGCAATATTAAAAGCAGTAAGGGAAATAATGAAAATTTTATAGGAATCAGAAAACGTTTCTAAAAAAATGTAAATTGTTTAAACTTTTCTATTAAAAGGTAAAGACTAGCTGATTGGCAAAAAACAAAACAAAAGAACAAAACAAAAACACAAATCAACAACAATAACAACAACAAAAACAAGACATGACTATTTGTTCTTTGGAAGAAACATAGCTCATGGTAAAAGGGATGAAATGAAAGTATTGAAAGATGTATACCTACCAGATGAAACCTGGAAAAAAACTAGGAATAGGTAAAGTATACTTTATGCTTAATTAGAAGAAATAAATAGGTTAACTAGATGTGGGTCTCCCTTCCCTGGGGATCATTGGTCAATATGGGTCCACAAAGGGCAAAGAGAGCAGAGGCAATGGATGAGAAGTTCAGATGGAGTACACAGGAGTAACATTTCAGAACCAGCTTCAGCAAGGTTGCTTAATTTTATTTGGTGTGAACAAAGGGTGTATAATTCTTGAGGAGAGGGTGGAGGGTTCCCAGGGTAGGTGAACACTATGGTTGGGGTTTAAGGTGTTGGGATGCCTTAATTGCATACCATTAATTCCAGATACTTGTAGATTGGGTTCTTATTGGGAGAAAGGAAGTTGAACCTGCATTTTGTCCATGGGCTATGCGACCTCCCTCAAGGCTGAGGGTCCTACTTAGAGACCCTCCAGATGAACTGAGGCAAAGCAAAAGCTTTCTGATAAGAACAGAAGTCCTCCATTCTGCATTGAGCTTGGGAGAGCTGTCCAGACATGGTGGACTGTGACCTCAAACAAGGTGTTCCAACAACCACATATTAGTAAAAAGAACAATGACTTAAGAAGATGTAATCTTTGTAGCCAGGCATGGTGGTGAATGCCTCTAATCCCAGCATGTAGGTTACAAAGGCAAGCAGATTTCTATAGTTTGAGGGCCATCATTTGTACTTAGCAAGGTCTAAGCCAGGCCAGGGCTGCACAGCGAGACTCTGCTTCAAAAATGATTGTAAATATATATACCTTGAATATGTGTGAATAATTTCATAAAATAAACATTATTGAACACAGAAGGACAGATACAATAACAGTGGATAATGTCGTTACTCTAGTGTTTTGGATCATCTAGATTAAAAAAAAACAAAGAAATTTCAAAGTTAATTCTTCCTAAGTTCAAGTGGAATTTATAAATATTGACATGATATTTCACCCAGTATATGTAGAATATATATTTTTTAGCAGCATATGGAACTTTCTCTAAAATAAAGTTAGGTTACAGAAAGTTTTTAACAAATACAAAAACAAACCTAAAGTGATTTCTGCCATCAGCTAATAATGTAATAATAGCAAGAAATCAATAACAAAAGAACCTATGGAAATGAGATTAAGCAATAGATTTTTCAGTAATATTTGTGTTATTGAAGCAATCATAGAGGAAATTGAAAAGTTCCTAGAATCAAAGCAGAATGAAAATAAAATGTATTAGAACTTTAGGAAAATAGCAAAGCTAGTTCTAAGACAGTTTTCTAGCTAATTCTGAAACTCCAGAAACAGCAAAGTTATGGTTCTGCTTCTTAGAATTGGTATCACTGTTGGAAAGGAATTCTTTGCCTTTCCAGTCATAAACATGTAATGATTCAACTCCTGACTGATACATGATTTATTTAAGTAGTAAATTTGAATTCAATTAATGATGTACCTCAACCAAAAAGTTAACTTTAGACTAAATCTCATGATCATTTATTTATAGAACATATGATTTCACTTTCTCCTCTGAATAATATTGCTTGTTACAAGTTTGGAAACTTTCTATAACTTTACATTTTGTACCTTTGTGGAGACCAATAAATTATATTACTTACTCATTTCCATAGCAAGGACAGTTATGTTATGCCAAGAGTACTCTTCTCTGTCCAGTGGTCTTGCAGTCATTAGAGCACCTGTTGTAATGTCAACGTAGAAAAATCTCCCAGGGTCACTGCTTCTGTCAATGGAGTATCTGCAACGATATGGATTATGAACCTGATTTTCATTTGGACAAAAGAGAGCACATGAGAGACGTGAGTGTACACATGACGTTAAAACAGCTCAGCAGCCGTTGAGTTGCGAATATGTGGGACGCTGTACATTTGTCACGCTTAAGAGAAACAAAAGAACTTTTTTACTACTTCAAGTATCTTAGAAATGAAATAAACCGAGTCCTGAAAATCTTATGGTGGTTTTCATTTGCATAGAAATCAATTTATGCTATTTAGAGCTTAAAATTGTTCCAAGAATTTGGGAGCACCCTCAAATCAGCCTTTATTTATAAATGTGTTGAAATTCAAATGCTAATCTGAAACTTGAAAAAAAATAGCAAACTCAGTCTTGTGGTTCTGCATCTTAGAATTGGTATCACAGTCGAGCAGGAAAGCTTTGCTCCAGGCCTTCCCTGTTATACACCTATAATGATTCAAATCCTGACTGACATAGAATCTAGTAGCTGAAGGTTTCTTATACAGGATGCGGTTAGCAGGATAACAGGTCTATTTAGGTTGCAGGTTGTAAATAAAACAGTTTTGTGTGTTTGTGGGGGATAATCTGCTGAAGACCATCATATGGCATTCAAAATTTATACAGCATTATAAGCAAATGTTCTGTAAAACAAAGGCCAATTTTGCTCAGGCCACCGACCTTATTTGTTGTTTCCATCGTGTGTGTCAGTCTGGCCCAATGTGTGTTCATGTGGGAAAAGAAGGGCACTTAAAGGTACTTGTGCCAGACAGCTTTAAACCTCTGCAGAAGGATTACTTGACTCATTTTGCTGTTCCTCTGTCTTCTGACTCTTTAGTGAACTTGGGTAAGAGTAAGTAAGATCTGTAATTCTTGTTCAGTCTGATTTGGCAACCTGGTTTCCTGTGTTTACTTGTATTATCTCATCTGCTCTCCACCATGGGAGATGTAGGAAAGCTCATGCATCAGGATTTTTAAAAATAAGGGATTTTGGTAATTAACTATGATTGAGGATCATCATTGAGAATCTCATGTATTCCTTGGTTAAGTTTATTAATTTGTTATTTTTATTGAGACATTATGTATTTAAGGATATAATGTTCTTTCTCTCTATATATATATTCTTGTAGAATTTAAAAACCTATCTAATTAACATACACATCATCGTGGCAAAAGCATTTACAATCCATTTCCTGGAAGCTTTGAAATACACAGTATATAATCATCTAGTGACCATCTGTACAGTAGATCTCTAGATCTTCCCGTCTAACTGGAACTTTGTTTCCCTGGCCAAAAATTTCCTCTCTCACTCTATCAGCCTTACTGGCCCTAACCTATGATAACCATCACATTCTCTCTTTTATCTGTTCAACCTTTTAGATTCTACATTTGAGTAAGATCATGAGGCATTTGCCTTTCTGTGCCTGGCTTATTTCATACAGTATAATGCTCTCAAGATTCACTTGTGTTATTGCAAATGACAGAATTTCCTTCTTCCTAAAGGCTGAGTTGCATTCTCTTGTGTATGCATAAAATACCACATTAAAAAATCCATTCATCTGTTGATGAGCACTTAGGTTGTTTCCATATCTTGACTTTGTGAATAATGTGACAGTTAACATGGAAATGAAGATGCTTCTTTACATACTGATTGTAATTCCTTTGGATAGATACCCAGAAATAGGATGGCTGGATCATATGATGGTTCTAGTATTTTGAGTAATCACTACAATGTTTTTAAAAAAATTTTAATATAATTTTTTATTTATTACAATTTATTCACTTTGTATCCCAGCTGTAGCCCCACCCTCTTTCCTTCCCAATACCACACTTCCTCTCTCATCTCCTCCCATTCCCCTTCCCCAGTCCACTGATAGTAGGACCTCCTCCTCTTCCATCTGATGCTAGCCTATCAGGTCTCATCAGAACTTTGTTTCATAGTCTTCCTCTGTGGCCTGGTCAGGCTGCTCCCCCCTCAGGGAGAGGTGATCAAAGAGCCAGCCACTGAGTTCATGTCAGAGACAGCCCCTGCTCCCCTTATTAGGGAGCTCATTTGGAGACTGAGCTGCCCTGGGCTACCTACCGCTGTGCAGGGGGTCCATGTTATCTCCATGAATGGTCCTTGGTTGGAGTATCAGTCTCAGAAAAGAAGCTGAGCAAGAAGAAGGACCCTGGGTAAGATGCTCAATCTTCATTCAGAAAGGCAAACGGGACAGACATTGAAAGAAGGTGAAAATAAGGAACAAGACAGGAGCCTATCACAGAGGGCCTCTGAAGGATTCTATCCAGCAGGGTATTAAAGTGGGTGCTGAGACTCATAGCCAAACTTTGAACAGAGTGTAGGGAATCTTATGAAAAAAGGGGGAGATAGAAAGACCTGGAAGAGTCTAGAGCTCCACAAGAAGACAAAAAAAAAAAAAAAAACCCAAAAAATCTAGGCACTACACTCTTTTTTTAAGTGGTTGTGCTAACATATCCCCACCCACAAGGTACAGAGCTTCCCTTTTCTGAATACCCTTTCTTAATTTTCATCCTTTGGGGAATGGCCATTTTAATTGGTGAGACAACATCTCATTCTGATTCATTGTGGCTTTAAGCTGTAGTTCCCTGAAGGTTAGTGATATTGAATGCCCCCTCCCATATATTTGCAAGGCTCTTGCATATATTCCTTTGAAAAATTGTCTGTTCAGGTACTATGACATTTCTGAAAATAAGATTACTTGTCCTGGCATCAGAATACAATACAAAACAAAAGTAATCAAAACAGTGTAGTATGGGCGTAAAATAGAGACGGTGATCAATGGAATATGAGTGAAAGCCTAGAAACTAGTGCGTATGTGTTGGGAGCACAAAGGTCCTTGTACCCACACATCTCCAGGGAACCCAGCAATATTAAGTACCCGGGATTGTTCCTTCAAAGGGAGGGACATATGTATACATACATACATACATACACACACACACACACACACACACACACACACACATATATATATATATGTATGTATATATGTATATGTATAACCTGTTTTTCCAGAAAGCTGAGAATTAGAGGTGGGTGATTAGTAGCCTGCTGATCCAGGCCATATCAAGCCCCTACAAACAAGACCAGAGGTGGTTAAGAACGACCTCTACACTGTCTGTATGATGGACCCCAGGCCATAGTCTTCCCTGGGCCCTGAAGCTAGCACAGGCAGCCTATCTCTGGAACCCATCTTCTTGGAAGAAATTACGTGTACACTGAGTTGAGTTTCAATATAATCACACTTCCTTGTGCATTGCACAAGGATTGTATCACAACAGGACACTTTCTCCCAAATTGTACTGCTTTAAATATACTGTCAGTGAACTGCTTGGCACCAGACTCCATGAAGTCTTGATCCACGTTGACCAAGTCAGTTTGAACTGAGTTTTCGTTCTCATCTTTTCACTGCTTGGACACCTGCAGGGTCCCCTTCACATATATTTATGATTACAATTCATTGGATTTTTGTTAAAGATTAAAAGAATGCATTATTGGGGTGAAAGAACAGTCCTTGATGAGTTGTATTTGGAAAATTGGCAGCCCACATACAAAACGATGCCTACCTGGTCCTCTTTCACAGTAATCAAGTGAATAGAGAAGTTAAGATCTGAAACTAAATTATGTAATGTTACATAGAATATTATATAACGTTCGTCTGAGGCATGATGTCTTGGATATAACCCTAAAGGCACAGAGGCAGAAGGAGAAAAAATAAACCAATGAAATTGAATCAAACTAAATATTCTGCACAGCAAAGGAAACAATCAGAAGATGAAAGAAAGTACAAAGATTGGGAGGAAAGAACACCGATCTAATGTACAAAATACAGAAGTACCCTGTTCTTCAAAGGCAGGTGTGTGTCTGAACAGTAATCACCTTGCAGCGCATTTAACATACAGCGTCTTTTAATATTCTCGTTTCTTTGGAAAGTTACCCTAACCATCAGATAGGCCAACGGAAACTTAGGAAAATTGAGTCACTTTCAACTAAAATTTAAAATAATCTATGTAGAGTCATAAGTGTTCTTACTATTCTTACTGATTGTTCTTAAGTAGAGGCCAGAGAAATATTGAATTCAAATTTTAATAAAAGTTGACAAAACTTGCAGTTTTTATCTTAAAGTTGTTGGGATGAATAAACTGATTATCTTAAGAACGTAATTTGAATTATACACATATAATTGTGTATCTTGGTGGGTTTGTGAATAGGTTCCTGCCAAGGTTAGGAGAAAACAGTGGATCTTCTGAAGCTGGAAGTAACAGGCAGCTGTGAGCCACATGATGTGAGTGTTGGGAGTCAAACTTGCTTCCTCTTCAAGAGGAGTATGCATTCTTAGCCACTGAAGTGTCTTTTCCCTGAAACCGTAATTTTGGTAATAATATCTTCTGTAAGTGCAGTGATTTGCATACTGCCTCTTGGTGAGCAGTGAGATGGTTGATTGTGATTACCACTGAAAGAAAATGAAATAGAATGGGGTATATGCATGCTAAATTATTTCATGTAGTGAGGGTAAATATTGATGTAAAGCTTTTATCTATCTATCTATCTATCTATCTATCTATCTATCTATCTATCTATCTATCTATCTATCTATCTATCCGTTCATCCATCCATCTATCTATCTATCTATCTATCTATCTATCTATCTATCTATCTATC